GCCCTCATTCAGCCAGGAGGAGGCAGGACAAGAGGGAGGGTAAGTTGCTTCCTCCCCGCCTCTCCCCACCTCTGCCTGCCTGGGGCCAGGGAGGGCCTTGGCGGGGCTTCCTCGCACTCCTGCCAGCCTTGCAGGTCCACCGCCGGGCCTCTGATGTCAGGGGGTGTGGCATATGCTAATAAGTTATGCTAATGAGTTCCCCTAGCTCCTTTTCTACGAAATGACCCGTGAAGGGCCCTTTAAATCTTGCAGGAGGGGAGGGAGAGGGGTGGCTGCGAGCGGTTGGGCTCGGGGGGAGGGGAGGTTAGAGCGGACATTAAAATAATGGCAGCCCCACCAGGAAAAAAATTGTCCCAGAAGCCACAAAATCCTGGCTACGGGCCTCACAGCTAATCGAATTTGCAGTGGTGGCGGAAAGTGCCGTCAAGCCACAGCTGCCGTACAGCCACCCCGGAGGGTTTTCGTGACAAGGGACGTTCAGAGGTGATTTGCCATTGCCTGCCTCTGCGTCACGACCCTGGTCTTCCTTGGAGGTCAAATACAAGCCTGCTTAGTTTCTGAGACTGGACAAGGTCAGGCTAGACTGGGCTATCCAGGTCAGGTCATCAAATGTGTACATGTGGTCATACCCCTAACAGAGAGTCCGACTGGAAACGGCAAAACCCGAAGAAGTGACTCGTGCAGAGGCACAGCAGGCAGCCTCCTCTGTGGGTGGCCACCTCAGGCTCACTGGGAAACGTTTACTTTTTGAATCTATTTCATGTGGCTCCACTGATCGTTATCTGAAGAACACATCCCTGCGTACACTGTGGTTGTCTAATAGTTGTGTGGAAAGCAGCCCTGGCCTGTAACCCAGGCAAGGCCGATCTCGTCGGATCTCTGAAGCTAAGCAGGGCCAGCCCTGGCTAATCATTTGGATGGGAGCAGGGGTCGTTTCATAGAAAAAGAGCTAGGGGAGCTCATTAGCATAACTCATTAGCATATGCCACACCCCCTGACATCACCGGAAGTGTGTCATAAGGCCACACACCCCGACATCTCCGGAAGTGTGTCATAAGGCCACACACCCCACCCCCAACGGTCCCGGCCCATAAGGCCACACACCCCAGCCTGTAGCCCAGGCAAGGCCGATCTCGTCAGATCTCTGAAGCTAAGCAGGGCTGGCCCTGGCTAATCATTTGGATGGGAGATGGGGTCGTTTCATAGAAAAAGAGCTAGGGGAGCTCATTAGCATAACTCATTAGCATATGCCACACCCCCTGACATCACCGGAAGTGTGTCATAAGGCCACACACCCCACCCCCAACGGTCCCGGCCGCCGCTGCCGGCCTTGCAGCTCGGCGGTGGACCTGCAAGGCCGGCGGGAGTGCGAGGAAGCCCCACCAAGGCCCTCCCTGGCCCCAGGCAGGCAGGGGTGGGGAGAGACAGAGAGGAAGCAACTTACCCTCCCTCTTCTCCTGCCTCCTCCTGGCTGAATGAGGGCCGGAAGCGAGGCGGCCGGAAGCAGGGGGCGGAGCTTCGTCATGTGTCTCGCCCCTTGTACCTCACCCGGGGGAACTGCGATCCCCCGCGATCCCCCACAAAATGACCTCTGGATGGGAGACCTCCAAGGAATACCAGGCTCATGAGGTGGAGGCAGGCGATGGCAAGCCACCTCTCTGAAACGCCCCTTGCCTCACTAGGGGTCGCCAGACGTCAGCTTGCCTTGATGGCAAAAATACCTGTGTGGAAAGTGAATTTCAAAATCCCACCGGTCCGCGCAACTCTTCGAGGGGAGAGTCCCGACTTCCATTCCCCCTCCCAAGCAACCTCCCTGACTGCCTCGGATTTCTCCCCACCACCACCTTACCTCGGTCCATGAAATGGACACATCGATCCATGACCCCCGTACAGTCCAAGAGCTGCAATCTGTTACGGGCGCACTCCCCGAGCCCCGTTTCACGGCAAGTATAGCACCGCAATCCATTTGGATCTCCGGCAGAGATGTCTGCGGAGGGGGAAAGACGGAGTCCTGAGGCTGGGGGACAGACTGTGAGTGACTCCTCATGGTAAGTTCTGAGGGGAAGCAGAAACTGTGGAAGGCAGGCCAGGCCAACGGGGGTGGGACTTCTGGGTTTTGTCCGAAGGCTGTGAGAAGTGGGTGGTGACGAAACCTAAGCTGCGTCAAGCTTTGCAATCGCAGGGAAGGTCCTCCCCTAGCCTGGACCCCAAAACTGAATTTCCACACTGAAATTTAAAAACCAAGAAGCAAAGGAAAATACCAGAGTGGGAACACCAACGGCAGTGGTGCCAGTATGCCGCCTGGGTAGATGGACCCCTGCGTAACTCATTCAGTGAGCTAAATATCTATTTGTATCCCAGCTGGTTGCCACACAGGGCTTATGAGGCAGTTTACAATAATATACAAAAATAAGCCATACCCATGACATATACACAAACACACACAAAATACGATCCTATCAAAAATATCCCTGCAGTCTATAGTGGATTAACCTACCGTCAACTCATACTGCTGCAGGTACAGAGAGGAGTATACAGGCTGTTATTGTTGAGGGGTTTTGCTTCTCTGATTGTACTCGTCGTGACCCTTTAACACAAAGTCTTCAGTCCTGGCGAGAGTATCACCGATTTGCCATAGATTCGAGCGCTGATGATGTTGCAATCCAGTCTCTCTTTCGGGCCTAGAAAATTTCTCATACCTTTCCCATTCAATTTCAGTGGCTAGAGAAAATTCTTGGTGGATCATGCCCTGGATTATTCTAATTCATCGGCTGCAGGATGAGCTTCCAAAAACAGGAAGCTCTTCCGCATTCACATGTTCCTCCTTTGTAAGTTCCTGTTTCTTTGAGGAGGGGGTTCTATTCCTCACATCTTTTGCTCCCTCTAGTGGTTGATTTGATATTACACCAGTGTACATCCAGCATATCTTCCAGCAGATTAAAACTGCAGGTTTTTATGCCAGATATGAACCAGTGTAATATCAAATGGGCGGGACCACGGTGGCCCAGAGGTTAAGACGCTGAGCTGCAGACAGGAAAGTGGGTAGCTCGGCAGTTCAAGACCCTAGTCCCGCATGACGGAATAAGCTCCCGTCTCTGGCCCCAGCTCCTACCATCCTAGCAGTAAGAAAGCAAGAAACTGCAAGTGGATAAATAGGTACTGCTTTGGTGGGAAGGTAACAGCATTCCGTGTGCCTCGGCATTTAGTCATGCTGGCCACGTGACCAGGGAAACGTCTACGGACAGTGCTGGCTCTTCGGCTTGGAAACGGAGATGAACCACCGCAGCCTTAGAGTCGGATTCGACTGGCTTTCGACCAAGGGAAACCTTTACCTTTAATATCAAATCGGCCGTTAAAGGGAGAAAAATACATGTGGAATGGGGAGGGGAAACGGAGGAAACATGAACTTACAAGCAAGGAAAATGAGAATGCAGAACGCCCCACTAGTTCGGACATCATTATCAGCAGTGAAAAAACCATTATTATCAGCGTTACCTTGGAAAGTCCCGTCGTTACAGTTTGATCCCTTGCAGACTTTTTGATCAACGTAAGCCAAGTTGGCCCCGATCTGGTACACCACCTGCACGTCCTTAACGGAATCGGTTCCACACCCCTTGATAATGGGTTCTAACCCTTTTCCTGGAAAGAGGAACCAGTACTACGTTCACGCCCCTGGCCAATGGTCCTATCCTCTGTTCTAATATACACAGCAAAAAGGTTGCATGGGCCACACACCAAATATTATGTCAGGGGTCTCCAACGTGGGCCCATGGGCACCAAAACTTTCCTGGTGCCCGCGGAGTGTTCTTAGAAAGTAGGGGGGTCCAGGCGGGTCTTTTGCCTACCAAAGCTTCTGATTGGCCACTGGAGACTTTACTGGCTGCGCAGATTTTTAAAAACGTTTCAGTCGCAGCTGCAACCACAGGACAGTGGCTTTCACTGTGGGACGCGGCAGAGGATATTTTGTGGCTGGCTCCGCCTCCTGTGGCAGTCATTTTGTGGCTGTGCCCACCACATGGTGTCAGAAGTGCCCACATGCTCAAAAAGGTTGGGGAACCCCTGTACTACGTCCTCTTCCAAGGGATGCTCCGTTTCACTTCAAACTGTTATTTGTTACTTTATTAAGTACATACCAGTACTAGAGCATCTCCGGCGTATTGGGAGGGGTTTAGCACTGTAATTCTAGAGTTTTTGCTTCATTGTCTCTCGGGATCCAAAGCAGAGACTGAGCCAAAGTTTTGCAGTTTTGGATTTTCATGCCGGCGTTTGCAGTTTTGGGTAGGGGAGCATGGAAAAGGGAAACTACAGAGACAAATCTGTATTGTCATACATCCTTGTTACCAACCTGTACTGCACTGGATCAAAAATTCAAAACCCGGTCAAAGGATATTCAAATTGCTGCAATATCGTAGGATGTATAATGAAATATCTGATTTGATGTTTTTGAATACAGGTAACGCGGTGGCTCAGAGGTTAAGAAGAAGAAGAAGAGATTGGATTTATACCCCGCCCTTCACTACCCAAAGGTGTCTCAGAGCAGCTTACAAACTCCTTTCCCTTCCCCTCCCTGCGCCTCCCCACAACAGAAACCCTGTGAGGTGGGTGGGGCTGAGAGAGCTCTTGACAGAAACTGCTCGTTTTCAAGGACAGCTGTGCCGGAGCTTGCGACTGACCCAAGGTCACATCAGCAGGGGCAAGTGGAGGAGTGGGGAATCAAACCCGGTTCTCCCAGATTAGAGTCCGCACACTTAACCACTACACCAAACTAAGACACTGAGCTGCAGACCGGAAGGTCTGTAGTTCGGCAGTTCGAGACCGAGTGCCACATGAGAGAGTGAGCTCCTGTCTCTGGCCTCAATTCCTACCAACCTAGCAGTAAGAAAGCAAGAAATTGCAAGTAGATAAATAGGTACCGCTTCAGTGGGAAGGTAACAGCGTTCTGTGCGCCTCGGGATTTAGTCATGCCAGCCACATGACCACTGAGAAGTCTTCGGACAGCGCTGGCTCTTCGGCTTAGAAACGGAGATGAGCACCGCCCCCTAGAGTCTGATTCGACTGGCTTTCGAGCAAAGGAAACCTTTACTAATGTTTTGTCATTTCTCTTCTACTTGGGTGCCTGAAAAAAAGGCTGATCGCAAGGGAAACAAACCTACTAATGAACTTATCTATATAACCCACAAGATTCCCCAGTTTTGATATTCCTGATTCTTATCCAAGTTATAAAAAGTGCTGTGGTGAGCAGTGTCTAGGCTGTGGCCGCCTGTGCTCCTTCTACCAGCACCTACTGGCTAGTTCCCGTACCGTCACTTCTGATGACTGACATCTCCCTGAATCCCCACAACTGTGTGTGGCCTGCTGCCTCCTCTCAATTGGTAATATCCACTTCTGCAGTACCTGGCAGGAAACGCTGCGATATTTGCACACATCTGTCCTGCTTCCCGACGCATGGCTCCGTGGGAGCATTCGGGCCGCATTCAGCCGCACTCCCGATACAGCTCTGACATTCCACGCCGTTTCCGGATCCTTCTCTGCTGTCTGCACAGAGACATTGAGGGAAGGGGCAGAGGAGAGAGAAGGCGCTCATCAGATTGAGTCACTCATTCTGAACCCCTGGCCAATCTTTTCACGGGTTTGTGCCTATTTCTATTTCCTTTGGGAGCTATAAGGCCCCCCAAGCCCTGACCTGGATAGCCCAGGCAAGACCGATCTCGTCAGATCTTGGAAGCTAAGCAGGGCCGACCCTGGCATGTACTCGGAAGGGAGACCTCCAAGGGCCGGGACGCAGAGGCAGGCAAGCCAGCCACCTCTCTGAAATATCCAAGCCCCACTAGGCATCGTCAACCATGACTTCCAGGCACAGAGGCGCGTGCGCACACACACACACCCAAAAAACCCCTCACCAAAACAAAAAATAAAACAGGAAATGATAAGCTCCCATCCTTGTACCCTTGGGGGGAAATGGCCCCCTCTCTGTTTATATGAGGCAGTGTAGTATAGCGGCTAGAGTATCGTACTGGGATCTGGGAGGTAAAAAGGTAAAGGTTCCCTTGCTCGAAAGCCAGTCGAATCCGACTCTAGGGTTGCGGTGCTCATCTCCATTTCAAAGCCGAAGAGCCAGCGCTGTCCGAAGACATTTCCGTGGTCATGTGGCCGGCATGACTAAACACTAAGGCACACGGAACGCTGTTCCCTTCCCACTGAAGTGGTACCTATTTATCTACTTGCAATTTCTTGCTTTCGAACTGCTAGGTTGGCAGGAGCTGGAACTAGAGACGGGAGCTCACTCCGTCATGCGGCACACTCGGGTCTTGAACTGCTGAACTACCGACCTTCCACAGCCTGCAGTTCAGCGTCTTAACCAATTGAGCCACTGCAGCTCCATGGGATCTGGGAGACCCAGGTTCAAATTCCCACTCTGCCATGGAAGTTCATTGGGTGACCTTGGGCCAGGTTAGGGCTACCCGGCCCCTCTTGGCAACCAGCGGGGGATGGGGGGACTTGCCAGGAGAAAGAGGACAGCACAGCGTGTTGCTGGCATTGCACAGGAAGTGACATCGGGGGCTCTGGCAACCCTAGGCCAGGCACACACTCTCGGCCTAGACGACCTCACAGAGCTGGTGCGAGCAGTGTTCCCTCTAAGCTGAGTTAGTGTGAGCCAGCTCGCAGCCAGCTTGCAGTTTTTTAGCCTCCAGCTCACACATTTTTGTCTTCGCTCAGGAAGGATGGGGCTCCAGAGCAAGCTACTTTATGCAGAAGCCAAATCGCTCGCTCACAACTTTAATGCCAGGAGCTCACAAAGCAGAAATTTTGCTCACAAGACTCCACATCTTAGAGGGAACATTGGTTGCGAGGCTAAAATGGAAGAAAGGAGAATGAGGTCGTGAGCCACACTGGGTCCCAAGAAAGGCAGGGTATAGACAAATTCATATGTGGGATGAAGAAGAGCTGGATTATACCCCATCCTTCACTCAAAATCTCAGAGCAGCTTCCCTTCTACTCCCCCGCAACAGACACCCTGCGAGGTAGGTGGGGCTGAGAGAGCTCTGAGTGAAGTGCCCTTGAGAGAACAGCTCTGAGACAACTGTGACTGACCCAAGGTCACCCAGCAGGCTGCGTGTGGAGGAGTGGGGAATCCAACCCCGGCTCTCCCAATTAAACTCCTCTGCTTGCTGGCTCGTTTGAAGAAAAATTTGGCCCTTGCTCTCACTCTTTCTCTCTCTGCGTACCCTGACAACTCTTGTCTGGCAGTTTGAATGAATCCCGAATTTTTTGTGTTTGAGGTGGAAATTCTAAATGCCACCCTCCTCTCCCATTTCTCTGGTCTCTGGCCGCCCCCCCCTTTCATTCCAATAGAGTTTATCACAATGGGGGGGGTGAGAATGACCAAATCCTCAGGGTTGGATCCAGCAGATCCCAGCGAAACTTTCCTCTGACAGAAGGTGCCTTCCCTGACACAAGCCGCTTGCTTCCCCTCCACAGGAGGAGAACCTCCTTGCGAACTGGACCCTATGGGTCAGGTACGTCTCACAGACCACTGCCTGAGGCAGCTCCCTTAGCTTCCCCCATGGCTCAAATTACTGGGATATCAAAGGGGCTACCCAGGGCTATTTTTGGGCAGGAACGCACAGGAACGGAGTTCCGGCTGGCTCCCAAGTTGGCCACGCCCAGCAGGAACTCATTAGCATAATAGGCCACACCCAACAGCAGAAACTCATTAGGATTGGCTACATTAGGGGTGTGTGGCCTAACATGCAAAGGAGTTCCTGCTCCAAAAAGAGCCCTGGATTTTGACAACAAACAAGGTAAACAGAATAACAAGCAAAAGGTGGGTGTGGCTGGATAACCACACTTCTGGTAACACGGGGGTGCAGCCTAATGTGCCAATGAACTGTCAGGGGTGTGGCCCACTATGCTAATGAGTTCCTGCTGTTGGGTGTGGCCTATTATGCTAATGAGTTCCTGCTGGGCTTTTTCTACAAAAAGAGCCCTGGGGCTACCCTTGAACAGCGTTCAAAAGCTGCCGCTGGGGCAGACTGCTGGCGTGGTCCAGCTATCAGGAGCACATGACGTGACCCCAATATTAAAGCATTTACCCTGGCTATTGACGATCTTCTCCTATATGTTCCTGCCCAGGAGTTAAGGTCACAGGGAGAAGCCCTCCTGACCCGTTCCATCAACCAATGAAGCTTGTTTGGTGGGTACGCAGAAGAGGGCATTTTTGGTGGTAGCCCCACAATGACGGAACAACCCCTCCCCCCACCGGGAGTTGCGCCTGGCCCCCTCGTTTCCAGTTCTTTAGGAAGCCACCAAAGACAGTTTTATTTATGATTGCCTTGGATTCAAGCAGCCCTAAATTGTCCTTCGAAAATTTGGTTTTATGTTTTTTTTAAATGTAATCTGTTTTATTTATATTGTACTTGAGCATCCTTGGGGAAGTAAGGCAGCTAATATACATGTTTACTTATTTATTTACTTATTTATTGCACTTGTAACCCGCCCTATCCCATGATGGGCTCAGGGCAGTTCACAACAGAGATAAAACAATTAATATACAGTGAAAATCGAATGAATGAATGAATGAATGAATGAATGAATGAATGAATGAATGAATGAAAGTGGCTGTGCCTAAGATTTCTTTGATTACCATGAAAGGGATGGACTCAGCATACAATGTCTATGTGATGTTTCTGCCCTTTCCCAAATAATTAAATTTTGCCAACCCCCTCTGCCCCGAGTGCAGACTGGGTTTCTGTGGGTATGGAGAGCTACCTAGCACGACCCCCAAGTTCTCTTTCCTACAGAGTCTCACAGCCACTGTGTCAGGAAGCAATTTTTTCTCCAGGCCAGTTTGGCCACGGATCCTGGAGGTATCTTCTCATCTTCTGAGCATGGAAGAGTGGTCACTGCCAATGTTCCCTCTAAGCTGTGGAGTCTTGTGAGCAGAAATTCTACTTTGTGCGCTACTGGCATCAAAGTTGTGAGCGAGCAATTTGGCGACTGCGTCAACCAGTTTGCTCTGGGCCCTCCTTCCTGAGCTAAGACAAAACTGTGTGAGCCGGAGGCTAAAAAACTGTGAGCTAGCTCACACTAACTCAGCTTAGAGGGAACACTGGTCACTGCAGGGGTGAAGGGGGAGGTATTTGTGAATTCCCTGCACTGTGCAGGGGGTTGGACTAGATGACCCTGGAGGTCCCCTTCCAACTCTATGAGTCTATGATTCTGTGATTCTATGAACACACAGGCAGAGTTCAGATCTATCTTGCATCTGTGAACCTCCTTGGGTATGTTCTCACCTGCCACTCTGCCCTCACGTACCGTGATAATTCACAGGTAAGCAGAGATCTGTGGAACAACAGTGCATCCTCCGGAACAAGGAACCTTCATGCCCTCCAGGATACCGACGGCAGTAGTTCGAAGTACCGCAGCCCTGTTTCACGGTGTCTGCCTCCACTGCAAAGAGAAGACAGAGCAATCGGGGGAAGGAAGCAACTGCAAATAAGGGGGACTCAGATCAGTGGGTTCTAGAGTAAACCAAGCCTGACCTCTCCCCCAGAAGCCAAAATGAGTGATCTGAGGCTATCGTACTTTGGTGACATTGTGAGAAGACAGGAGTCACTGGGAAAGACAGCAGTGGCAGGAAAAGAGGAAGGAGGCAGGAAAAGAGGAAGACCCAACATGAGATGGATCGACTCCATCAAGGAAACCACGGCCCTCAGTCCACAAGACCTGAGCAACGACGGGATGTTTTGGAGGACATCAATTCATAGGGTCATCATAAACCAGAAGTGATTTGACGGCACTTAATGTTAGATTCACGGGTATAGTAAGCCAGTGATCCCTATCTGATTTAGCAGAGTGCACTACTGGCCACACGCTGCAGTAGCTTCTTTTTTATGCATGCGCCGGCAAAGTTACAGAGTTACACAGAGCCGCTTGTCAGTTTCAAACCAATAAGACTCCTTTATGCAAGAAACTGCATTCTAGATAGTGCAGGTTGAGAGATAGTGCAGGTTGCGAGATAGTGCTGGAATCTAATCTAACTAGCTGGATGTACGCAGATGCAGAATGCATTTGCATCCGTGGTGCCAGAGATGGAGAGAAACATGCTCCTTCTTTGTGTGGGTGCGGGGGGTAGGGCTGCCAAGTGGGTGTGGGGGGCGGGTAAACCCCCGCTTTGGAGGGCCGATTTCCACCGCCGCAGAATTGGGCCCCGGGGGGAACTCCGCCCCCCGAAGCGCAGCGTGGCTGCGTCACCAGAGGTGATGGCCACCCTGATTTGCTAGTTCCAATCATCATCCCTTTCTCCCTAGGGTTTGATCATCAGCCATCTTTTACCACTTTCGGAAAGGGGAACTGGAGGAGAAACCCGCACTGCCACGCTCCACGTTCCCACGGCCCACCCGTTCCCCTAAAACAACATCACTTACGTCCAATGAACCTCTTGATCTCAAAGAAGCAGGAGTCCTGTCCTGGCAGGCAAGCCTCCACTTCGGTATCTGAGCAGTTTCCTTGCCTGTTCAGGCACTTGTGGCATTTCAGGCTGTCGGCTGGAGAAAGGGACCCAGACAAGGATCAGCTTTCTGCTCTGGGGAGATCTTACGTTGCACTGTTAGGGGTGAAGTCACTGGGCGATTCTGCACTGGCTTTTCCCTCCATTGTTTCACCACACCAGGGGTGGCCAAACTTGCTCAATGTAAGAGCCACATCGAATAAACGTCAGATGTCTGAGAGCCGCAAGACGTGAACAGATATTTCACAAACGTTTTACTGAAAAATATGCACGTTTGCCTTTTAACACTGACATTAAATGAGACTGCCAAAATTAAAAACAAAGGGGTTAAAAAGAGAGATTGACAGGGCTATTTTGGGGGCAGGAACGCACAGGAACGGCGTTCCAGTCGGCTCCAGAGTTGGCCACGCCCACTACAGCCAAAATCTCTGCATGCGCGGCTACAGAGGGAAGGCCTGGAGAGCGATCCCCCTCGGCGACTCTGAGGTGGGCGGGCCAGGGGGAGGGCCTGGAAGGATCGGGGAGGCATTTAAATGCCTTCCGGAGCCTTCCCCAGCCTGCACGGGCTCCTCACAGCTGCGGGGCTCCCAGGCAAGCCAAAGGAAGGCATGGGGTGTGGCCTAATATGCTAATTAGTCTCTGCTGTTGGGTGTGGCCTATTATGCTAATGCGTTCCTGCCGGGCATTTTCTACAAAAAAAGCCCTGGATGTTGATAATGATATTTATTTGTCCAAAGATATGTTTTTTTTTGCTAATGATATTTATTTGTCTAAGAGAGAGAGAGAGGTGGAAAGAGAGAATGAAAGAGGTGGAAAGAGAGAATGAAAGAGGTGGAAAGAAAGAAAGAGAGAGAAACAAAGCAAATATATGGGAGGAGGAAGGAAGGAAGGAAGGAAGGAAGGAAGGAAGGAAGGAAGGAAGGAAGGAAGGAAGGAAGGAAGGAAGGAAGGAAGGAAAAGCATGTCTCCCCTTCGCTTCCCCAGCTGCCCTGCCAGGAGCTGCACAATATGTGTAAAAGAGCCGCATGTGGCTCCCGAACCACAGTTGACGCCGGTGCAAACTTTTGCAGGCAAGAAGTTGGTAGGATCATCACATTGACTGAATAAATTGCTTGCCACGAGCACCATCCACACAATCCTCATTTAAACAAGAAGGGCTTCACGTAGGTGCACCAGCTCCGGTCTGGAGAATACCTGGAGATTGGGGAGGGGGTGGAGCCTGAGGAAGGCGGGGTTTGGGGAGGGAAGGGACCTCTGCAAGAGACGTCCCAATCTTCATAATAGCTTTGATAACACAACCAGGAGCAGATCAGAGCTTGCTTGCTTCAGGGATAAGAAGAAGAAGAAGAGATTGGATTTTATACCCCGCCCTTCACTTGGGAGTCTCAGAGCGGCTTACAAACTCCTTTCCCTTCCCCTCCCCACAACAGACACCCTGTGAGGTGGGTGGGGCTGAGAGAGCTCTGACACAAACATCTCTTTTTCAAGGACAGCTGTGCCAGAGCTTGTGACTGACCCAAGGTCATCCAGCAGGTGCAAGTGGAGGCATGGGGAATCAAACCCGGTTCTCCCAGATTAGAGTCTGCGCACTTAACCACTACACCAAACTGGCTCTTATCCAAACTGGATAAGGGCCTCTCAGGGAGTTGACCCCAGAAACGTATATACCAGTTTTGATCCCTTCGGGACAGGAGATGTTTGAAGGATGTGAAACTTGAGACAATTCCTATTTTTAATGTCTCGGGTCCCCAACTTGCCCGCTAATTCTCTCCCCCTGAGAAAACCCAAACGTTGTCAAGTTCCCATTTCCTACAGAGCAACCCGTCACAAATAATTAACATTCAGCCAGCACCTGTCCACCTAAACGATTTAAATGAATCAACGATGAATAAAAAGTGCTGAACAGGTTGGTTCCCCGCCACCACTTACCGGTTGGGATTGATTCTGCTGAAAGATGAATGACTCTTCCTGGCAAAGTTCCCCTGGGGAGAATGCCAGAGTGGAGTTGTCTGTTTAACCCTCGGACCAAATACGAGGCAAACTGTTTGCAGGGATCCCACTCAGAGACTAATTCTTGCTTCCTTTTCTCCACAGAGGACCTTGTGCAAGGTAAGGGTTCTTCCGTTCCCTGGTTCTCTGACTCAATTTCTGCATTTCTTCATGTATTTGTAAGGCTCGGCGGTTCGGTGTAGTTCTTCCTTCCGGCTTTCCTTTTCACTTACTTCGTGTACAGGTTTCATAAGCGTCCTTCCCTTTCCCACACCCCTCAAACCATCAGCATTTATGGGTTCCAACCAGGACCGCCTGTGCTTTAAGAGGCGGAGTCATGTTCACGTTAACGGTTGCCACCTCAGACAGCGAGGCCAGGTGGTAAGCCTGGAGGAAATCTTCTAAAACCAGGGCTATTTTGGGGCAGGAACGCACAGGAACAGAGTTCCGGCTGGCTTCCAAGTTGGCCACACCCAGCAGGAACTCATTAGCATAATAGGCCACACCCAACAGCAGAAACTCATTAGGATTGGCTACATTAGGGGGTGTGGCCTAACATGCAAAGGAGTCCCTGCTCCAAAAAAAGCCCAGGGTTTTGACAAGGTAAACAGAATAAGAAGCAAAAGGTGGGTGTAGCTGGATGACCACACTTCTGGTAACATGGGGGTGCGGCCTAATATGCCAATGAGTTGAGCTGTCGGGGGTGTGGCCTAATATGCGAATGAGTTCCTGCTGTTCGGTGTGGCCTATTATGCTAATGAGTTCCTGCTGGGCTTTTTCTACAAAAAAAAGCCCTGTCTAAAACCATTTGGCTTTTATAACTGGGCACGGTAATTAACTAGCCAAGAATACACTGTCCCCACACTCAGCCCTCCCTCCCTCCCGCCTAGCGGGATTAAACCATTTGGGAAGCATAAATGGCGTTATGGCCCCCTTTCTGGAACGCCTGTTCCAGCTTGCCAACATCTAGCCTTTCTCCTGGTTGTTGTTGTTGTTGTTGTTCAGTCGCACAGTCGAGTCAGACTCTTCGCGACCCTAAGGACCAGATCACGCCAGGCCCTCCTGTCTTCCGCCGTCCTCTGAAGTTTGCTCAATTTCATGTTCGTTGCATCGATGACACTGTCTAACCATCTCATCCTTTGCCGTCCCCGTCTTCTTTGACCTTCTTCTTCGACCTCTCCTGGAGCTGACAGCAAATCCCACGAATCTTGGCTTCTCCCTTCCCCGTTCCTTCACCTATGTCACCAGGAAGATAACCTCCCAAACCCACTGCCCGATCTGAACCCAACATGTTACCCCAAGACCCCTCCCGGCCAAGAACCAAGATTCCCAGAGCTCCCTTCATTCCAGGGGTCTACGCAGCCACACAAAGAGCCTGTCCTACGTCAAACCAGTGAATTATGAGTGGACTGCGTGTGATTAGGTACAACTCCTGGGGAGACAGCCAAGTTCTCATGGGAAAGCCGCCACACCCTAGTAGTCGGCTAATTTTCTGGCTCTCTTGGGTGCCCTCACACTCAGGCCAAAATGAAGGCCTGGTGTCTGCCAGACAAGAGCGGAGGGGCTCGGGCTCAGTGGCAGAGCCTCTGCTTGGCATGCAGAAGGTCCTAGGTTCAGTCCCCAGCATTTCTAGTTAAAACGATCAGGGAGGAAGTGATGTGAAAGAGCTCTGTGTGAGACCTCGGAGAGCCACTGCCAGTCTGAATAGATGATCCTAACCTGGATGGGTTTTGTGTGTGTGTGTGTGCGTGTGTTTAAGAACACAGCCCTCCACTCTAGCAGAAGATATCCTTTCACCACCCAGACCATCAGCTTGGCATGCAGAGTAGGCCTGTAGCCACGGAGGGGGGCCATTGGGGGCAATGCCCCCCACAGATAAGCACCACCCCTCTCAGGCAAAAATACAAGAAAATGTGAAACGTAAAAAAGAAATCCATTTTTTTTAAAAATGTAAGATGAGCATGGGGTTTCCCAAACAACCCTGGGCACAGTCAGGGAGGCTTCAGTCTCGTCCTCTTTTTTCCAGGCCGAAAAATAAGTAGGTTTTTTTTAAATGCAATAAGATAAAATAAAATTGCAAAAAAAATAATAATATTGCAAAGCGCAGGAGAGAGTGAGTCGGAGACACGCCCGGCTTACGGAGAAAAGCAGCCTGGAATTGAATCTCTCCAATCAAAAGGATTAGAGGAGGACGAGAGTTCACAGTGGAGTCAGAGCTTCCGCCGCTGCAAGAGGAGCAGCAAGCATGACCTTGGGACACCCCCCCCCCATGCCCCACCAACCAACATTTTCTGGCTACGCCCCTGATACAGAAGGTCCCAGGTTCAATCCCCAGCATCTCCAGGCAGGTAAGTGATGTGAAAGAGCTCTGCCTGAGATCCAGGAAACACTTGGGATATCCTTCTCCAGAGAAACACGCCCAGTAACTTAATCTAAGTCCATCATCAGTAGGCTAAGCTCATCTCCTGCTCCATCACTATTCCCACTATAAGTAACTCAAGTACCTCAAATTTCAATTTCCCACCTGTTGGCAGAAAAGGCATCAATTTAGGGTATAAAGGAGACTTCCTTGGTTCCAAGCATTTTGAGTCGGTTTTCTCCTGGAAACTTCTTCCAGCACTGAAATGAGGCCACACATGCTCTTCAGGACTGGCAAAGGTGCACTTCAGTTCTTCTGTTTTTCTGCTTTCCTTGTCCTCCTTTGCGTCCACGCCCTCTTTCAACCACCCCACCCCGTTTTGGCTCCACAGCTCCTACCCGGCCTTGTAACAGAGGACAGGCGGCACAGACCCTTGTGAACTCAACCAGAGAGCTTCTCCATAACAAGTCTCTTTATTAACAAAGGCAGGATCACACCACAGGTGGGAACGACGGAGGGGAGTGATGCATCCTTATTAACGGGTGATTGGGTCATTTCCTTGGTCTGCATTTTTGCACGCACTCCTGTTCCCATTCCACCCGCCATCAAATCGCCAGGTTGCAACACCTGCAGTTCTGCAAACTCCCTGCCGTGTTTGCCCCATCACGTAAAATACAAGACACTGCCCTCTAGCGGCACCCTAAAGCATTGCAAGCAGAAGCACACAGGAGTTTCGCGAAGAGTCGGACTCGACTGTGCGACTGAACAACAACAACAAAAAAGCCGTGTTGGTCCGCAGTCGAACTACTAGATTGGAGTCCAGTAGTATTGGAGACCAATAAGTTTTTCGGGATATAGGCTTTCGAAAGCTCTGAGACAAAGGGAGCTCTGACACAATTTCTGCATTTCTTCATGTATTTGTAGGGCTCGGGGGTTCGGTGTCGTTATTCCTTCCGGCTTTCCTTTTCACTTACATCGTGTACACGTTTCATAAGCTTCCTTCCCTTTCCCACACCCCTCAAACCATCAGCATTTATGGGTTCCAACCAATGTTCCCTCTATGCTGTTGAGTCTTGTGAGCAAAAGTTCTGCTTTGCGAGCTCTTGGCATTAAAGTTGTGAGCGGGCAATTTGGCTGCTGCATCAATTCGTTTGGCTCTGGAGCCCTCCTTCCTGAGCTAAGACAAAAATGGGTGAGCCAGAGGCTAAAAAACTGTGAGCTAGCTCACGCTAACTCAGCTTAGAGGGAACTCTGGTTCCAACCGGGACCGCCTGTGCTTTAAGAGGCTGAGTCATGTTCACCTTAATGGTTGCCACCTCAGACAGCGAGGCCAGGTGGTAAGCGTGGAGGAAATCTTCTAAAACCATGTTGGTTTTATAACCGGGCAAGGTAATTACCTAGCCAAGAATACACTGCCCTCACACTCAGCCCTCCCTTCCAGCGAGATTAAACCATTTGGGAAGCGTGCCAGTCACATTAATGGCGTTATGGCCCCCTTTCTGGAACTCTTGTTCCAGCTTGCCAATATCTAGCCTTTCTCCTGGTTGTTGTTTTTTTTTTCCAGTCGCACAGTCGAGTCTGACTCTTCGCGACCCCATGGACCCGATCACGCCAGGCCCTCCTGTCTTCCGCCGTACTCTGAAGTTTGCTCAATTTCATGTTTGTTGCATCTATGACACTGTCTAACCATCTCATCCTTTGCCGTCCCCGTCTTCTTTGACCTTCTTCTTCGACCTCTCCTGGAGCTGACAGCAAATCCCACGAATCTTGGCTTCTCCCTTCCCCGTTCCTTCACCTATGTCACCAGGAAGATAACCTCCCAAACCCACTGCCCGATCTGAACCCAACATGTTACCCCAAGACCCCTCCCGGCCAAGAACCAAGATTCCCAGCGCTCCCTTCATTCCAGGGCTCTACGCAGCCACACAAAGAGCCTGTCCTACGTCAAACCAGTGAATTATGAGTGGACTGCGTGTGATTAGGTACAACTCCTGGGGAGACAGCCAAGTTCTCATGGGAAAGCCGCCACACCCTAGTAGTCGGCTAATTTTCTGGCTCTCTTGGGTGCCCTCACACTCAGGCCAAAATGAAGGCCTGGTGTCTGCCAGACAAGAGCGGAGGGGCTCGGGCTCAGTGGCAGAGCCTCTGCTTGGCATGCAGAAGGTCCTAGGTTCAGTCCCCAGCATTTCTAGTTAAAACGATCAGGGAGGAAGTGATGTGAAAGAGCTCTGTGTGAGACCTCGGAGAGCCACTGCCAGTCTGAATAGATGATCCTAACCTCGATGGGTTTTGTGTGTGTGTGTGTGCGTGTGTTTAAGAACACAGCCCTCCACTCTAGCAGAAGATATCCTTTCACCACCCAGACCATCAGCTTGGCATGCAGAGTAGGCCTGTAGCCACGGAGGGGGGCCATTGGGGGCAATGCCCCCCACAGATAAGCACCACCCCTCTCAGGCAAAAATACAAGAAAATGCGAAACGTAAAAAAGAAATCCAATTTTTTAAAAAATGTAAGATGAGCATGGGGTTTCCCAAACAACCCTGGGCACAGTCAGGGAGGCTTCAGTCTTGTTCTCTTTTTTCCAGGCCGAAAAATAAGCAGTCTTTTTTTTTTTAATGCAATAAAATAAAATAGCAAAAAATAAACTAATATTGCAAAGCGCAAAAGAGAGTGAGTCGGAGACACGTACACACATGCCTGGCTTACGGAGAAAAGCAGCCTGGAATTGAATCTCTCCAATCAAGAGGATTAGAGGAGGACGAGTGTTCACAGTGGAGCCAGAGCTTCCACTGCTGCAAGAGGAGCAGCAAGCATGACCTTGGGGAAAAAAAACCCATGCCTCACCAACCAACATTTTCTGGCTACGCCCCCTGATGCAGAAGGTCCCAGGTTCAATCCCCAGCATCTCCAGTTAAAAGGATCAGGCAGGTAAGTGATGTGAAAGAGCTCTGCCTGAGATCCTGGAAACACTTGGGATGTCCTTCTCCAGAGAAACCGGCCCAGTAACTTAATCTAAGTTCATCATCAGTAGGCTAAGCTCATCTCCTGCTCCATCACTATTCCCACTATAAGTAACTCAAGTACCTCAAATTTCAATTTCCCACCTGTTGGCAGAAAAGGCATCAATTTAGGGTATAAAGGAGACTTCCTTGGTTCCAAGCATTTTGAGTCGGTTTTCTCCTGGAAACGTCTTCCAGCACTGAAATGAGGCCACACATGCTCTTCGGGACCGGCAAAGGAGCACTTCAGTTCTTCTGTTTTTCTGCTTTCCTTGTCCTCCTTTGCCTCCACGCCCTCTTTCTCCCACCCCACCCCGTTTTGGCTCCACAGTTCCTACCCTGCCTTGTAACAGAGGACAGACGGCACAGATCCTTGTGAACTCAACCAGAGAGCTTCTCCATAACAGGTCTCTTTATTAACAAAGGCAGGATTACACCACAGGTGGGAACGACGGAAGGGAGCGATGCATCCTTATAAACGGGTGATTGGGCCATTTCCTTGGTCTGCATTTTTGCACGCACTCCTGTCCCCATTCCACCCGCCATCAAATCGCCGACACCTGCAGTTCTGCAAACTCCCTGCTGTGTTTTCCCCATCACGTAAAATACAAGACACTGCCCTCTAGCGGCACCCTAAAGCATTGCAAGCAGAAGCACACAGGAGTTTCAAGTGGGTAGCCGTGTTGGTCCGCAGTCAAACTACTAGATTGGAGTCGAGTAGCACCTTGAAAACCAATAAGTTTTTCGGGATATAGGCTTTTGAAAGCTCTGAGACAAAGGGAGCTCTGACTCTCAAAAGTATATACCCCGAAAAAATTGTTGGTCTCTACAGCTGCGGTGGCGCAAGTGGTTAAGACACTGAACTGCAGGCTGTGGAAGGTCGGTAGCTCAGCAGTTCGAGACCCGAGTGTGCCGCATGACGGAGTGAGCTCCCGTCTCTAGTTCCAGCTCCTGCCAACCTAGCAATTCGAAAGCAAGAAATTGCAAGTAGATAAATAGGTACCACTTCGGTGGGAAGGGAACAGCGTTCCGTGCGCCTTGGTGTTCAGTCATGCCGGCCACATGACCACGGAAACGTCTTCGGACAGCGCTGGCTCTTCGGCTTTGAAACGGAGATAAGCACCGCAACCCTAGAGTCGGATTCGACTGGCTTTCGAGCAAGGGAAGCCTTTTCCTTTACCTTTTACAGCTGTAATGATTTCAAGTTACAAGCGGATGCTTCTTTAAATGGTTGGTACCGTTTCAGAAGAACAAGGGGGATAAAAGAGGGAGATGAGTGAGTGAGGTGATTGGTTGGTGACAGAGTGTGCGGGTGGAGCTAAGAAGTGTGCATGTGGAGAGAGGGAAGGCTGAATGTTCGGTCAGCAGCTGTCAGTTGTGGTCAGTCTACAGAGTCTGCGAAGTGGTCTTCTAATTAGAATCCCACATTAGTGCTGTGAAAGGCATTAAGAGTCTAAAGGAGAAAGTAAAATACTTTAGGGGAGCCATATTAGAAACCAGAGACAGTCAAAATCTAATATTGTCAGGGAATTATAAGAGTATGAGAGGAAAAAGCTGACAGAAACCTGAGGTAAAAAGGGAAAGATTGAACTGAGCAACGTATAATAAAGATCGGAGAAGGTACATTTTGATAAGAAGGAAGAGTTAGAGAAAGAGGGGTGATTAAGAGTGAGAGAGAGAGTGATACTTCAGTCGGAAGTTGTTAACATACGCTGTTTATTCACTGAAGAGACAAGTTACAAAGCATCTTGTAACCAATACACTTCTCGTGCAAATAAAGTTTTATCTTGTTTAGTGTTAACCCAGAGTCATACGCTGTTTAAAATATAAGAGTCTAATCGACAGGACCACACGGTCCAACCAAGAACCCTTAGAGCTTGAGCACAATACTGTGGGAAAGGTCAATTAATGACTGGAATTAAATTCCTGGTGGCAGCGTTACATACTTTGACTGACAGAAAGAAAAAACAAGAAATTTTAGACCACATCATACCTAACCACGCAAATTAAAAGAGAGGTAGTGTGACAGATATACAGATTTTGACAGATAGCCCAGGCTGGCACTGTCTTTTCAGATATCAGAAGCTATGCAGGGTTGGTCCTGTCAGTACTTCAGTGGGAGACCATGAAGGATTGCCAGGGTCTCTACACAGAGGCAAGCAATGGCAAACCACCTCTGAATATCTCTTGCCTCGAAAACCTTACAGGGTTGCTGTATATAGTCTGAATTGACTGCATCAT